GACCGTCCAGCCTCGGCCGCGGCAAGACGCACCCGTGTCATGAACGACCAGGAGAAGCCCAGAAACAATTTATCGGTGGTGCCCTTTCTTAAGTCAATTGTCTTCAAAAAGGGCTCCAAAAGGGCACATGGTGTTTAAAGATTGTTTTTTTGATTCTTGGGGTCGCTGCTGACTCGCATCGCTATATAGATGGATGTCACATGCTGACATGCTATGGTAAAAGTTAACAAAGGGTTTGCGCCATACACTCATATAATATTGAAGTCTGGCCCACCTGTACTGCATAATCTTTCTTGCATTTGCAGATTCGTATTGACAAGCACCATTGCAGTATCAGTCGCACACATTTGTCTCGTGTTGGAACGATTTGACCCCACTGCTAATTGCACACCATATGGTCTCGAACTTGGGTCTTCAACCAAAAAGAAAGCTTTGTCAGCGCACAAAGTACGAACATGTACTAAATATTATGGTTTTAATACATGAGACCCAGAGTTCGCATCCCGCAAATCGCACAGATAATGCACTTTCCAGTGCCAAGACCCCTTCAAACACTTCAAAAGCGGCCCAAGCACTCCCTATCAACCCTGGCGCAAAACACAGATGGGGGCACCTTTGGTGCATCAATCTTCTCTGTTTGCCTTGATGACGGCCCACATGTCCTGGATGTTTTGGCACTGGTAGTCGCCTTTCACATTGTCCACAGCAGCAGCCTTGGCCAAATTGTACGAAAGCCTATATAAGTCGATATACAGACGTGGCAATGTTTCACATTTTTGACAGCAAAAAATCCCACAGTGCGAGTGAGTCGCAAGACCTGCCATGGCTTCCAACGCTGACTTGATGTTGCCCTTGATCGTCAAGTAGAAGACCTATACACAAGATGAAGGCCATTTGTAAGAACAGGAATCTGGAACACAGAAAGGTTGTATGGATTCAAATTCTCAAACTCTAAACTCTCGAACACAATTCTGCCTGGGGTGTCTTTCGCTGGTCAGGGATTTTGAGCTGCAGCCCGACTGCATCACGGGTCCAGTACGGGATGACCTTACAATGCTCGTATTCCTGGATTGTGTTTCTCAGCTTCTCCCTCTCAGGATCGCAGGTCCGCTTCCGAGAGCTTTGAGGCTGAGTGTCCTTGGAGTCACTCGGACCATCGCAATCCTCCTTGTCATGCTTCTTCCCCCCTTTACCTCGAGTCTTTTTGCTTGCTGGTTCCGATTTGGTTGTTCCCTTTGCCTTCCTTTTGTTGCCTGGCTTGCTGCAAGCGCTGGCTTCCTCAACCCTTGCGGACGACTTCCGCTCACGACCTTTTGATTTATTCTCATTCTTCTTTGTTTTTCTTGTTGGTTCTGAATTCTCCAGGTCGGCATCTACACTTTCCTTGGATTGCTTTCCCCGACCCTTGCGAGGTCCTTTGCCTCGGCCACGCCCCCCCCCGTGCTGGCTGTCTTGCTGATTCCGCAAAAGGAACTGTTCAGATTCCTCAGCTTGTCCGGCCCCCTCCTCCCATGCCTCCTGCTCTCGAGGCACAACAACATTTTTCAGTTCCGGTTCTTTCTTTACGAAAGCAACTGCATCCAAATCCCTCAGCTTTGGCTGGTTTGATTCCACACTAGACTCTGGTCTCAAAGCTGGAGGTCGAAGCATTTGGTCGACCTTCTTGAGAGCAGCTACAGGGTCCTGGCAAGGTCGCTCAGCAAAGCAAAGCACCTGCAAAACAAAACTCCGTGGAAAAGCAATTATTGCACCAGCCATCCTCCAACACCACTCCATCAGGCTTGCTCTGCAGCAGCCCGGATGGCTTCGCCTGCAAACGCGCAAGAAGAAACAAGTCCACGTAGGCAGCAACAGCCATCAACAAGTTAAAGAAGGACTGGCCTTTGGTGCCTCCTGCAGCTGCTCCCTCAGTGTGGACACATGGCCAAAGGTTGCGCAAGGAGTCTGAACTCAAACATTGTGTGCCAAGTAGCTCGAGCTTTTTGATCTCTTTTCATCAATGGTCGATAAGCTTGGCTTGTCGGGCATCTCCGATTTGGTCGATAGGCTTGGCTTGTCGGGCATCTCCGGTTCTCCACATTGAGATCCATTGGGCCCATTGAGATCCATTGGGCCCTCAGTGACCACGGCTTTTTCTGGCACACTTTGAGACATTCTCAGGGACATCAACTCGTAGTGCTTGATCAGTCCATCAAGCTCCTCCTTTGAAGAGGGAGGCTGCCTGGACCGGATTTGGGTCACTGGCTCTGGAGGAAAGTCAGCCCCCATCACATCAAAGGGTATTGTCAACATCTCATTCACATCCACTGTTTGGCATGAAGGATAGACACCGCCACAGCTGCTGATGGGCTGCGAATCTGGCATGTTCACATCATGGTGGGTGAAGCAAAAGACATCCCTTGGCTGGGAATCATCTACAGGCGGACTCGTCTCCACCTCAGCTTCATCACGCTGGGTTGTTGGAATCTCATCATCATCAAGATTGATCACCATGTCCGCTTTCCTGCCAAGCTCTACCTCAACAACCGGCTCAGCAGTCTCCAGCGCAGGCTGTGTGTCCTCAAGAGTAGGCTCCATAACTGGCTGTGTATCCTCCAGTGCCAGGGCGTCCTCTGCGTCCAGGGCATCTAGGTCCTCATCACCTGCCTCCATGAGGGGAGCAACCTCCTCGACCTCCTCGTCCTGGAATATCATTTACAATTCAGTTTGACTGCAGATGCACTCGGCTTTTGCTACATACTACACACTCATACAACAAACAAGAAGGTCCTCCTCATCATCAGCAACGTCAGCAGCATCATACACAGGCAGCAAGTATGGGTACCACACGGCAATGAATATCCGATAGATAGCCTTTACTTCCGGGTCCTTGATCGATCTTGATCGCAGTAAAGCCACAACAACTCACCCAACTTAATCTCAATAACAACCCCCACACACACATATAAGCATGCCTGCGCACACATCACACTGATTGCTGCCGGAGTTCACGAGGTATCCGCCCCATGCGGATGTTCCGAAAGATGTGGGACATCAGCTTTCGCACACCCCAAGAGTCACATTGTACCTGTACCTTGGAAGGGCCTTTCTGTAGGTCCAAGAGGCTCCAAAATTGCTTCACCTACGGACAGCTCCAAGTATGATCCAGAAATCATGCGGGCTAATTCAAAAGATAGCTATGATAGCGCATTCCCCCACCTGGTCCTTGATGCAACGAAGGGGGGGGGGGTGCGTGCAGTTCCACAGGCTTCGAAGTCGAAGACTTCGACCCATACCTCCGCAAAAGAACGAAGGACTTCCACATTCAACTTCAGGGCTTTCCTGGGCAGGCTTCAGGTTGGTTTTGACATTGCTGCCAAAAAGAAGTCTCAACATGCCAACATGCCTTTTGACCTCTCTTGGATTGGAGTGAAGAAAGATGCAATGGTTATGTTTTGATAAGACTCATCGAAGGGATGCCAGTAGCAGAAGCTGAGGGCCAAGAGATCAAAGCTTGAATTTCTCTGCAACGGCGGCGCAGGAAGGAGTTGGCCTCCAGCTTCTCTGCCAAGCCCTGGAGCATCACTACTGACACCGCTGCGCGTGAGAAAACCGGCTTGGCTGCTAAAGGGAGAGCTGCAGGTCATGCCTACATGATCTCACACAAAAAACAGTGAAACATATGGGCCACCTAACTCAAATTCTTTCTGGCGTTTGTAGATGTTGCATTCACGAAGAAGGTTGCTCATGATCATGGACCCAAGAGCTCTTTGAAATTGTCCATCTGTGGTTGGCTCATCTTGGTTCCCGGGCCATCCACACAAAGCAAAACCTGCGTGGGAATAAACACTGGGAGGTACCACTGGGAGAGTTCCGGAGGTGTGCGACACACTAAGCTCACAGAGTGACAAGTTGGGATATCGCGCGCAGCTATAGAATCTTTTCTCGAGTGGGGCCCTGCGGTTGTTCACTACCTTATGTCTCAGACAAACTAGCTGATGATGATGGGGCCTCAGAGCACACGGGACCCAAAGGGAACATTAAGAGGGGACCTTAGGATGAGACCTCAGAGCTGTCCAGGCCACGTCCTCAACATGCGAGCCCCCCAAAACTACATCATAAAATGTGTGAGTGACAAGAAAACACATGTCAATCCTTTTGATTGCTTCACCAGATGGTCCACCACACCCGCGTTGTCGTAGTTGGATAGAATTTTGTGGGCTTTGTTCACATCGATAGTTTGGTCCTCCAACAAACGAAGAGCGTTAGACCAAAGGTTTGATAAGCCATAATAGACCTTAGGCCTTATAGGCATGAAGCAACACATCCTTGCCAAACATCACCTTGATGACCTCCGCCCACCAGTCATCCGAGTGATCCAGTAAACCTGACCAAGCGGAGAATGGGGATACGAAACATGATGGAAACACCTCAGCACAACCGCTCCTCGGGTCTCATACTCCGATCGCAAGTCACTGTGCTTTGCGAGGAATGCTTCCATGATTGAGCCACAAAAATGCTGCAAAATGGACAGTAAGGTCACTCTTCACTGCATAGTTTTGCGCTTGCTGCAAATGTTTGCAAACACACAAGGTTGCTTGCAGTCAAAAAAATTGAGCATAGGGAGGGCGCACCAAATCAATGGCCCAAATGTCATGGAGTACAGTCAAGAGCTTTCATGCTTGAGATGAAAGCTTGCGAACCCGAACGCATCGAGACCTTTCGATGGTTGGCACATCACGTCATGATCTCCAATGCATGGAGTCTCGAAATGCCACCTCCAGCAAAATACAAAAAAGGTACTCTTGATAGAAAAAGATACTTTTAACATAGGATGCCATCCTTAACACGCGTCCCCATTTTCTAAGGTACTTTCGAGACTCCAGGTACATTAACCCCCCCAAATCACCCCAATGTAGGTATACATTTAATACATGGATAGACATGGAATGCCTGGGCAAGGGTGCCAACTGTTGGACTCGTTGTTGCCTTCCACGAGTCGTGTGGACTCTTTCGCCAAGGTCAACACCTTCAATCTCTCCTGGAGCAGCCATGGGGAGAGCGGCCAGCGGGAATCCACTTGCAGGTGGGGAGGAGTCATAGCTTGCAGCTTTTCGAAGTGAAAAACAGGTGGGTCACAACCATCAGACCTAGCGACTTCAAGTGAAAGCTAAGCACCAGAAGAGGATCTTGTATCGGCAGACATTTGCAGTATCCCAGATGTCTTTTGGAGTGCGGGAATTTGGCCATCAACAAGCTTGGAGCATACGGTATACGTATTAGTTCAGAAGAGATGTTCTCACATGTTCCCACAAACTGGATCAAGGTCCAAACATGATTCGTTCGAAGCAAACTGATGCCACCTGCTGCTGAGTCATGCTCAGCATCCCTCCTTTCAAGGGCTCGCCATCAAGAGGGAGGGTAGTGGAGGCTACTGTACTGGGGCATTGAACTTCGTTGAAAGGTCAAAACACATCAACACATATCACCCTGAAGCAACCTTGGACCGGGTCGTCATTACATCTGGGGTTCTCACCAATCCCGAGGTTTTGAGGGACCAGTTGAGGCTGTGAAGAGCGTTTGGGTCTCAACCATCAAAACATCCTAGGTGCAATCGGAGCCGCTTCTGAGCTGGGAGCAGACGCGTTGGAAGGCCTTCCGAAAGGCTTGCAGCTGGCTGGCCACTGCCAGGCGAGAGTCGACCTCGAGCAATGGGAAACACCTGCATAGTTAAAGGGTAGGGCGCGAGAATCTCAGGGATGGAGGGGTGAACAAGGGACCGGAACTGTCTTGGCTTGGATTTTTGGGCCTTGACCGGTATGCTGCCACATCATGCGGTTGCTGGCATTGAGTCATGTGAGTCGACTTTGATGTGCGGCTCTAGTACCGTGTTGACAGAGCTGAGCCCAGCCCTCTAGTTCATTGTACTGTTTGATTTGTAAAAAACTGACCTTGGTCAAAGAAATTAACGATATGTGGCTTGTGAGTGAAGCAAGGTTTCTTGGGTTTTTGTTCTGGTACTCGCTTCATTGGTGCTCACTGCATTGATGCTGGCGCAATCCAATAAGCCCGAAGAGGTGTGCCAGTGAAGAATCCTGCTATGGCATGGTGTTTTCTCACATATATAACCCGTTATATAAGTTGTATAATTGGAGGCCATAGCTATTAGGTTGGAGGCCATCGCTAGTAGGTTGGAGGGAACTATGCCTGTGTGTCAACAGGGACACCGGTGCACTTCGTGAGTCATTTCCTGCTTTGGACTTCAGGAGTCGGGCCTCCGTGGAAGTGGCAGAGAGGCACTTCCGGAGCTTCCATGCCAATTCCTTGAGGAGAAGACCTTTGCCGAGCCAGTCAGTGACGTTTTTTGGTGGTTTCTCACTGAAATTGAGCAGTGCGGAAAAGACCGAAGGGGCCGAAGGGGTCAGGCATGCTGATTCTGTCCTTCGGTCCTTTCCACGGTGCTTCCATAGGCTCTTCCACGGTCGGCTGTTTTGGTGCCATCGTCACCCGTCCGTCCCGCCGTCAGGAGCATCTTATTCTCCACAGCGCAGTGGCCTGTCTTTGACCTCCTCCATCGCCTAGCGCGCCGCCCTCGCTTGGACGACGACCTCAGCCTCGAGGACGAGGACGCGCGACAGGGGGCGGAGAGCGAGGAGTCGACTTGGCCGGCAGGCTCTGTGGAAGCTGGGCAGCAGCTGAGCTGAGCTAAAGGGACACCTACCTGTCTGCTGAGCTTGTTGGGGCTGAGCTAATGGGGTGCTCCCATTTCGGCTTCCAGACGACACAAGGATTGGATCGTGATCTCAAGGGGGAAGTCTTGGGCGGTCTTGGGGTGGTTTTGATACACATGATTGGCACTGACTGGACATGGCAACTGACTGGGTGAAGTCTTTTCCTTGGTCGTGTGCTTCAAGAAGCCCACGGAGCTCCGGAGCACGGCGGAGCGGATGGCAGTAAGAAATAGTAAGAACAACTGAACACCGGATACTAGAGGATATGGCACCAAAGATAGTTCTAGTCCTTGTATGATCATTAAGCTGTTCCAGTTTTTCTGCATGACCCCTCAATGGAGTCTTTCTTCCAACTCCCAACCAAGCCTTGTGAACTCTTTTGAGATCATGCAATGGTCAACCTTTAAAAGTTGAATTAATTGTTTTTTTGCTCCTGGCGGATGAGTACATGTTAAGAATTCTGCACTTCATTGGTTCTTATTTCTGGTTAAAAAGAAAAAACATGCACAGCGGCGTTCGGAGCAGTGTTTCATTTCGGTTGGACGGATCTCGGACGGAACTCATTGGATTGGACGGAACTCAGGCAGAGACTTTCACCCGCTTTGGTGCTCGAGTACTACAGATTCTTGGCATCACACCGCCTGCCTTGGTGTACCTTGAGAAGTGGATCTGTTCTTCTCTTTTATTTTCTTGCATGTTCTTTCCTTCTGTCTTTCTTTCTTTACTTCTTTGTGAACTTGTGTGCCTTGAACTTGTGGCCATGACATATAACCCAAGGACATGGCAACCGGCACGGTATCAGACACAGTCCACACAAGACCTTTTCGACGACTGATCTAGCATGGCCAGCAAATATTCGAGTTCAAAGGAATGGATTTTGCAATGATCCAATTCAAAGAAATATCATATCTCAGTCATCTCAGTTCAACAATTATCGTGTAGGTTTCCTGCGGGCAGACTCGGCCACTGGCGGCATCAAGTGACTGGTGGTGTTTCCTTCTCATCATTCCCAAACAGTGCCTCAAACTACCCTGGAAACCTGAAGCCCGGTGTCGCAGGTGTCACGCTTTGAACCCCTGGAGCCCCATCCCAAGCTTCTTCGAAGCAGCTCTTTTGCTCACCCTACACACTGTTTTTCCTTCTTTGCGACCGCCGAAAGAACAAAGTCTGTCGACACAGCATCGAATTATATAATAATTACAAACTAAGCATGCAACTGGTTGACAGTGCCAGCACAGTAATCAGGTCCCCGTGCAGCATTGTTGTTGAAGTGGCCCTTCAGACTTGAAGTGGAAAACCACCAGTTTGGAGAGAAACATGGTCATCCCAATGGCCTTATTTTCATTTTGTTTCCACGTAACCATGATTATACCCCTTCGGCCACCTCACTCAAGGTCCGGGTCCAGGTTTCTGGTGCAGTCTTCCACAGCCACCCTTTTCACGCGCACGTGGTCGCTGACCGAATTCCCTTGCGCCGGCGAGGACTCTTTCACGTGGTCACCAGCCTCTTCAGCCTCTTTCGTCTCCACTGGTGGGTCTCCCACGGGACGTTGATCGGTGCCCTGCGCGACGGCGGCCTCTCGCGCCATGCGGACGACTGCGAGGTGGATCTGCCGGAGAAGGAGCGACTGGCCCGGTGGTCGGACGGATGGGGACGACTGATGCGGACTGAAAGGCTATCAGGAACAAGGACGCCTCTTGGGAGGTCTTTGAAGCTACTAGTAACACGAAGCTTTTTAGTAGGTCTTTGAAGCTTCTTAGTAGCATTCTTGCTACTAGGAACAAGGACGCTACTAGTGGCTCCTGGCCTTACTACTAGTAGCAAGAAGCTAATTACTCGTAACAAAGGGCATCGCTACTAGGAACAAGGATGCTATGTAACCTGGAACCTGAGTGACCTCGATTTTGGATCACCAACCACCCAACATATGGTCCAACTTGTGGTTATGATCAGATCATTCAGATCTCGTCTTCCAGAGATGGATTCTTTAGGACGTTTTGGATCACCCTTTTTCTATGAGGAAGTGGAGATCCTGCAGAGCCCAGCCATGCTGGCGAGATTGAGCAGGAATGGATATGAGCCTCGCTACTGACGGTGCAAGACGGTTCAGTGGATGGCTTGGAGGGTCGCTTTACACTCGCCCCAGCCATCCAAAAAGGGCCTGGACATCCATGTGGTTTAGCGATGGTAGCGCCTTTTTTTTGTTATAATGAGCACTTTTTGAAATCGAGTGTTTTGTGGTAATCGGCAAAGGAAGCTTCAGGTACACCGATAAATAAAGACAAATTAAATATACATATAATACAAATTAATACAATATATGTCTATAATGCTCCAGTTGAGACAAAAAGGTGGCCTAAGGTGAGAGGATCTCCCAGAAAACAGTTGACTGTGTCTTGAACCAAAGCCCTGGCAGCGAAAGCGGGGGACTCGCATTTCCAAGATGACGTAAAGGGAGCGCTTCCTCGTACGAAAGTGTGGACAGTTTGTGGCTGTTTCAAAGAGAGGGTCAACCGTGACTTGCAGAACAAGTCTTTACAATTTACAGTTGAACTGGACCAACGCCTTTTAAACTTGAATAGGAAGAATCAGAGCCAAGTCAACAGTAATTTGTGCATCAGTGTGATGTTTGAGAATAGCATCTCCACACATGCCTGGGCAATTTAACCCATTTGGCATCCCAAATCGTCAAGTGAGTGCTTGGGATGAGCATGGCAAGTTGTATTCTGTCGGGCATGAGCAAAGGTAAACGTCGTAGAAGGTTGGTGTGAGTGACACTCAGCCAGTTGTTAAAATGCAGAACTTAAAACAATGAAACAACCGTGTATATTGTATATATATATACATACTAAAGGCAAACTTGGTTGTTATACATTGAAACAACCCGCCTTGTACAGCAGTTTTGTTCAGGAGGTTGATCCATGTGTCCATCTCGAGGAATTTGTCCAGTCCGATGAAGCAACCTTCAGCCCCGACCTTGCCTTCACCATGTATTCGGCTCAGATCATGGATCATGGGCAGTTTGGATATGTTTGGATGCTTTGTGCCATGTGCCGCATTCTTAGGAGTTGAGCTATGACCCTCGGGGGCGATGCTTCAAAGTGTGGCTTTGGCTGAAAGAAGGCTGTTTTCGTACGTTGTTTTTACACAAAACCAATAAGTGTCAAGACCAACACGTGGAATCTTGCCCGTGCCCAGATCAAACAGCTACAAAATATACCAGAATATTGAGGAGATGCTTGGCCAACTATTGCAGAATATGCTTGATCAATATATTATGAGACTTTCAGAATATATCAGAATATTAGATTGGCCAACTGTTGAGGAGATGCTTTCACCCCACACGCGATCACTGCCCCATGGTCCTTCCTTCAACCTGAAAGCACTCTTTTTCTGACCTTCGGTCCTGCAGTTGTATGCACCAACTGGCACCGGTTCACAAGAGCATCCCGCTCCAGACAAACATAAACCAACAAAATTGCCTGTTTCCAGGCCCAAAATGACACCACAACGCCTGTTTTCACCTACGAACCGTCGCACATCGTCGTGACGCAGGTGGCCCGGAGGATCTGCTCGCGCCGACGCGCGGGAAGCGCAGCTGGTGGACCAGAGCTGGTGGCTGCCGCAGCAGCGCGTGGGGACGCCTTCGTTGGACATCTATTTGGTGCAAACACCGGAGGATACTGGGGAGGTTTTGGATGGTGCACAAGGGTGGCACAGTGGATGGTGGCACAGCATCGGCTCAAAAAGCAAGAGCTCCTCATGAAATCAAGTAGTTTGGTTGACCTCAGACTCTCGACTTCGAACTGTGGAGTCGATGCCCCTGAGCCTTTGGAGTCGATCATCAGAGATTTCAACCATTTTCAGCATGTCAACTACTCGAGGGCCTGAGGGTACAAGGAAATCAGAAAGGTCAGACTAGCCCCATTTGACCAGACTGATCTGCATCCCGAAAGGCCACTGTGGATCTGCATCACAAAACAGATCTGACGCTGTCACATTGCTGTTTGTGCCCTCTAAAGAAGGTTTAGACCGGTTTACCTTCACCAGTGATAACCGGTCCCATCTCACTTCTCACGTTGCAGTGCAGTTAGAAAGCAGCCGTTGTGCCAGGATGGACGTGCTGAACGCATGTACATCTCCAACGACGTCTTTCACTGCAACGAATTGAGTTGCCAGCAGTACTGGAATCGCAGCTCGTCTTTCAACCAGCACCGGCACTTTGCATCGAAGCTTCGATGGTGGGGATTCAGCTTGTGGCTTTGCAATTGAAGATATTTGAAGACTTAAGTATGTCATTTTTGTGGGTTACGCAGACGATGAAGGTGTTGCCTTCAAAATTAATCCAAAACTTAGTCATATCATTAATCATTGGAAATGAGGAAGGCAAGACGACAAGTCTTATCGATTAGGGGTACGTGGGCGTTTCCTTTGCTTTTATTCTTGAAGGGGTAGGTGTGATATAAATTGTGGCAGGCTCTTTTGTCGTCAGTCATGAGGATTCTTTCTTTTTAGGATTCAACATATTTCTGAACTGGAACAAAGTTGCAAAGAGTGATGTCGAGCAAAATTGAACTCAATTCAAAGGACATCAAAGCAATACATAGAAAGGGACACAGATTCAGTTGTTCATCAGCTGACATGCATTTGATAAGCAACACAATGCAGAACATATGCCAGAAAGGGACATTAAAATGCACAGATCTGGGAACGTTGATTCACAAAGACGAACGAACGCAAAGATAGTTTGACCTTTTAGCTGTTGGTTTTCCAGTTTGTCTGGAGGTTTCTGAGCAAAGGATTTAAGACTGACACAATACGCTTTCGATTTCGATGGCCTCTCATCTCCCGAAATAACGCCAAGCACACGAGGTGGTGCAGCCATAGGAACCAAAATGATTAGTGCGAGCGCTTCTTCAAGTAAGCTCACCCCAGTGCTCAGGCGGGGGAGCTTCCTTGAAGAAGCATGAGCTATCCTGTGTCCATAGGTAGTAGCTTAAGTAGATAGTAGCTTACTCCCTTAATTAAGTAGGCGCCTACTTAACAAAGTAGGTGCGGGCTGCAGGTTGGGAGCTCCAGAGCTTCTACGAGGTTCCCTTTGGTCTCACCGTGGCCCGGGTCCCTTCGGGCGCTGCCAGCTACCTGGAGCGTGTTTACGGTTGGGACTGGAACATCACCGTGCGGCCACATGGCTGGGCCTCGCAGCATGGGGAGGGCTTCGAAGCCAAAGAGGCGGTCGGTTCCGGTCCTGGACGGGCCAAGCGGTCGGGCGTGAACAGGCGTGTCCAGCGAACCAAAGGGTTTGGGATGTTTGGTGGGATTCCATGGGATTCCTCTTGGAACTAACCCTTCAAGCAAGCCAACAAGCCAGAGGTGTCCACATCCGTCCCCTCAGTCCCTTGCCTGGAGGTGGCCAGCCTCCACAAGCGTGCCGCTGAGCCGTTTGGACCTTTGCCGCATGTGCTGTGAGAAAAGTGGAGTCCGAACCTGTTGCTGTACACCATGGTACACGATATATATATATATATATAATATAGTCTTCAAAAAGATGGCTCCAAAACATGCTGTTGGATGTAGTCTCAATGGACGGTTATCCTTTTCACAAGTTCTGTATGTTTGATTCAGTCCACTGTTTCTATGGGATCAACACTTGGCAGTGTGCTTTGCATGGTGCTTTGCATGCGAACGGGGTACTCGACCTTGGCAGTGCTGGTCCTTTCAGGGAGTTGCTTCGATTTAGCATGTCTCAAGTCACGTTTTTTTGAGACATTTGTTGATCCACTCCGATGGTAGCGGCATGCACGGCATGTCACCTAGCGACCTTAGCAGGTCGCCTATTTTTGCTTTACACGCTGAGAAAGATCTGGTGTTCTCTCCAAAACTCAGCAAAGCACCTCAGTTGCAAGAGGTGCCAGACACAGCTGACTAGAGCTCAGTATGTAGACTCTTGATGAATAGGTTTGCACCTCTAATAATCAAGAGATATCAAAGAGGTTTTTACAATCGAATTAGTAAAACATAAAAAACGCCTTGATTTAAAACTTACATGGTTCTACATGGTTTTGCCATGATGTAAAAGTTCGTTTACAAGCGATATCAAGAAGTTTTAAATGGGTGTTCTATTCGTTTACTATTTCATGGGTGAGAGATTGGTCGACCGCTTCAGTGGAGTTGGACTGCTCCCCCCCGACCAGGTGGTCACGAAGCCCACATCACGTAGGTTTCACTAGTCATGTCACCCTGCAGTTCGAGAATGCTTGATGGATGTGGATCCCCAGAGAAAAATATACGGTGTTGGATAGATCATAGTGGATTTGGACCCAGCCTCATGTGCAAATGATTTGCTTCATCGCTTATGTGGCAGGATGACCATCGACATGCTCCAGTATAGCTTTGAGCAGCCGGAGGCAAGTTCTTTGAAGCGTTGGTTTGGCTGGAAACTTGCTATACATGGTTACCAATTGCTGACAAAGTGGATCGTACAACATGACAATCTACTGCTACTCTCCCAAAGATGATTCTACAGGGGGAGAATAACGTGGACCTTAGAGAAGCACATGATTCCAAAGTCACCATTCGATGCGGCCAAAAAGATTGCTACATCGTTCCAAGAATGTTCTGGGTTATATATACGTACAAAACAACACTGGGCAAATGACGCGACAATGGTAGATGGCTGAGCAATTTCCAGCTGCTCGATCTCATGTTTGGCGGCATATGATTGTACTGGTGCTACAGGCAAACAAATGGTTCCTGTGCAAAGTATGTACATTGATGTTGGCACCAAATCCGTTGACAGACAAGCTATTGATGTGTCGTGTGAGTCGTGTGTTATCAAATATAGATCGGACCATCCATGTATGGAATATTCAAGTTTTTTTTTTCTTTTAACCAATATTGACTCAGACCCTTAACACATCTTCAAATCACCCACAATCACACCATTGCTGGCAAATAGTATGCAGGAATTATCATATTGGACCAGTCAGTGATCACATCTAAGAACTGCTGTAGATGGTCGTAACACATACTCTGGAGGAAGGAGGATTAAATCAACCCACAGCTCTGGTGGTCCAGTTTTCCACCTAAGTCAACTGACGCGAACGGGTCAGCTGACTTGGAACACGAGCGAAATCCGTAGTCGTTGGACCCGTCGCCTGCGTATTGGACTTTGAGTATCCTTTGGGTCGATGCGCCCCAAGAGCTATGCATGAAAATTCCACCCAGGAGAGGGGTTCGCCTGCGAGTTGGCAGGAAGTAAGGTGACGGATGACTGCCAATTCCCCAGCTACACTGCCAAATGATTCTTATATATTGAGTTTTGAGGTTTGATTGCAGGGGAATTCTACAAGATACATTGTTCTTAGAACGATATTTTTTGGGATCTGTGGCTTTTCAAATTTTTTGGAACTCCAGAAAGACTGCTTTTGTGGTTGTGCTTTTACTTTGCACATGTTGATGGACTTGCATTTTCGAGGAAGACAGAGTCCCAAGAAAAAATGAAGGATATGCAGTCAGAACATAGAAAGTCAAAGTTAGGTGAAAATGCTAGCCACAAGGCTTCAGTTCACATATATCTGACATACTGACTCCCTCTACAAAGAACACCAAACACAAATCAAAATAAAAAGGAACGGCACTCAATCTTGGCTGAAGGAAAAACATACATAATATATCAATCATTCATTAAACAACTCAGCAATGACACAATCACCGAAGTGTTCAATCCAAAAAGACAACGACAACAACAACAACAAACAACAAACAACAACAAACAACAAACAATCGCACACACAAACATACAAATGACCAATTCCACAAGCATAAAATATTTGCAACCTTTAATCAACATAATATATATTATTATTACTAGTTATATAACTATATATATACACGCTTCCAAAAGAGCTAACAATACTAATTTTGACATTGGAGGTAACCATAACATCTGGAATCTTGACATTATTCCAAACAAATCCCCCAAAAGCACTCTCTATGTTGGCTTCATGATTTCTGCAGATTGTTGGGGTCAAACAAATCCCCCAAAACTCACCCGTTGCGAAACTCACCCGTTGTCGGTCCCAGATGTGAGGGACCCTCAGCTGGAAGAATGGTCCTGAAGGGTCCTGCGTTCCGTGTCACGACAACTAAGTCAGCGACCACTGAGATGTGGTGCCTTGGCACCCACCGGCAGGATGTGCTTGTGACCCATCGTTCAGATGAACGAGGACATGGGGTGCAGGGTGCAGGAGGATGTCATGTGGGTCTTGGGTGCCCTTAGGGTTCTTTAGAGTTACAGTGGCTCCAAAATACACTACATATCTAAAAATGTAGAATGCCTGGCAACTAGAGATGACCAATCTGATGGAGTATCATGTTCTCTTCTAGCTGTCCAGGCTGTTGTAGGAAGAAGATCACCCAAACTCGCAAACTGCTCAGCTATCTTTGCCCGTGAACGACCAATGCAATGTCACGCTTTCCAGTCTTGGTGTCGGATGACTCTGGGGCTGGCGAGGTGGTGTCGGTGCGAAGTGGTCAAATAAGAGAAGCAAATGTGTTCTTATCATGCAGCCTTTGAACACACGATCACATTTTTCATTTGAAAGAAACAATTCATGCCTGTTACTCTGTACAGACTCGCCACGATGCGAGTCTTGACGATATCCAGTCTTGGAGCTGGAGATGGAGCAGCAACATGCAGAAATACCTTGATGAGATATTAAATAATCTATCCTTTTTCCTTGGCCAATCAAAGGCTATCCAACAGATCCAGCTGCCAACCAACAAGAAACCAGACAAACTGATTATCCCTGATTCCTTAAGTGCCAAAAGGGCTTCTGAAGGCTTTCAAGATGACTGGGTCTTGTTTGGAGGCCAAAGTCATCATCGAAACGAAGAGGCGCCGCTCCGGGCGCAAGCTTTCCGCGCGGCCGACACTCGCCCTTCGGAGCCACAGCTGTTCCGTTGGCCGAAAATCACCGAGGATACGATATACAAAGGTCTTTCGTTGAATACTCAGGACTCAAGCAGATTGTGCCGGTGGTTGGTGATGTTCAGCTTCGATGGTGGGTTTTTGTGGCGGAAGCATCGGCCGACAGTTGCTGCTTGATCGTTCATCGGGTCATCGGGTCCGACTTGGCTTCCAGAATTCCTTTGCTGTGTGGGGCGGGTGTTGTAGTGGCAAATGAAGAATCCAAAGTTTTTGTTTGCCTATATATGCAGATGAGTATGTAGATCATAGAGATCAGAGCAGTGAGTAGATGTACAAAAATCCCGGGAGTGTCGGTTGCTGAACATGGTATTTGGTTCGGGCATGTTCCATAAAGCCATAATGTGTGGAAAGGTAGTTGCTA